AAGTAGCGATGCAATTTGCGGCCGTTTGGCTATTGGCTGCTGCAGCCACTTTCACAGCATTCGAGCAGAGTGAAGCCTACGATATAGGTGAAAATCAAATAAGTGAGTGTGAAAGTTTAGTTGGCTCTTTAATTTATCAATTAAAAGTGAAAATATTGTGCCTATGCATATTAGGGCGGGTCAATTTGTATGGGAGATTTTTTTGGATTATGCGCGTATAGCATAGGAGGATTCCGAAGAAACCGCGAGTATAAAATCAATTTGAAGTTTGCCGAATTGCGAAAATAGGTTTCTTTTTCGTAGCATTTTGCTTTGTGTCATAAAAAAGTCCATACATTTTGTAAAAAAAACAAGCTACAAAAAGTTTCTGGTATCCATTTCCGAACTTATCTTTTTCCTAAAACATCCGCAATAGTGAAAATTTTCACATTATCTTACGTGTCAAAATAAAGCAAAGATATATTTGATTCTTTTCATACAACCAAAATTCTATACAGAGAACATTCATATGCATAAGAAATAACATTGTTTTACACATTTCCATTTGAATACAAATTTTTATTAAATTAATTACAGTCACTCACAAAATTGAGTATGTGGTGATTTTTTTTTAATATTCACAAAAGTTTTCATGTCAAAAATTTCTTGATAATATTTTTATGCAAATACGATTTATATTTTGAAATACACTATATACACTGCCGGCAAAAAGTTCTGGCACAGCAAATTTTTCACAATATATGCAACAATTTTTTTCTAATATTTTTCCGCCAATTTTTTATAAATACATGGTTCATTCTACAATAAAAACATAAAAATAGAATTCCTAAACTTTGTGCAAAACTCACGAAAATTCAGCTAATTTTCATGCAAATTCTCAACTTTTTAATCAGGTATGAAGTTTTGCACCCAGTAATGCATATAAATTCACTTTTTTTTTATACGGAATAAAATGCCATACGCCGTCAGAAAAAAAGGTTAAAAATCAGCGCGAATTTTAAGACATTTAAAAGTTGCTCATAAAAATTTAATGGGTTTTAAAACTACATTCTCGAAATTTTGTAGAAAATCTTAATAAAAAAGTTGCAATATTTGATGAAAATTTGCAGAATTCTTCTAAACTTGGTACAAAGTGTGAAACTCAGCTTGGTATGGTGTTTGTTAAAATACAAGCCATATTTTAATAAAAAATTAACAAACAATTTTTAACATCAAATTAATTGTGAATATGTAGATTTAAAAAAAAAAATTACCGCATATTCAATTTTGTGAGTGACCTGTACATGTACCGTATGAAAAAAAATTTCAAGGAAAAGTAAAATTTAGGTTTTTTATTTTAACACGAAAAAAACTTTTAAATTTTCACGCCCTCTGGCGGAAGTTTTATGAAAAAGATAAGTCCAGAAATGGATTCCTCATAGCTACCAAAAAAAAAAACCCCCTTGGCATGTGTTTATACAAAATTTAAGCACTTCTTTACGACACTACAGCATACGGCTAAGAAAATGAAACCAATTTTCGCAATTTGGCAAACTCTTAATTGATTTTAGAGCCATGGTCTGTTCGGCAAATGTGGTTAGAGCTACACGTAGAATCCTCCTATGCTATACGCGCATAGTCACAAAAATTTAGCCTCCCTAATGTATATGTTTAAAAAGTCTTTTAAGCAAACTTCTTTTACGCGCGGACACTGCGCTAGTATATTCCGACGTAGTTTTTGACGCTGATTCCGAATCCGAAGTCAGAATTGTCAAATTGGCTAAAGTTTTTAGTGTCTCGGCAACGACAAAAGACGAAGTTTTGACATTGCTTCGGCTGCTTGTGCAGTTTTTTGAGTTTATCTCAATAGCTAAGCTCAATTTAAAACTTTTGACTTTGAATTTGGATTCAACGGGGAAAAATACATCGAAAGAGACTAGCGTAGTGTTTGAGCCAAGATGTTTTTTGAGGTGCCTGTAATTATGAAATCTTTATAATCAAAAATATATTTAACTTGTTACTTGTTACTTGTTGGCAAGTAGATGCCGGCGCTAATGCCTTGAATGCGGCTACTCAAAACGCCATTGGTGCAGCGGGTGTAGGAAGTGAGCTAACCAACAACATTGGCGGAAGTCAAGTCAGTAAGTAATAAGCAATGACAGATATGAAAATTTTGTTTAATTTGTTTTGTAAATACATAACAACTAGTAAAGGACACACCTAATTTTAAACTAATTAATATTTTTATTTTAGTCAACTCCGGCTCGATCATTCAGGGTAGCGGCAACACTGTTAGCAGTTTACTCAATGTGGATCCTCAGATCAATGCGGTTGTGAATGCCCTCAATAGCTTAAATCAAGAATCTGCTGCTGCCTCCGATGGAGCAAGTGGAAATACAATTGGTGGCAGGCAAATTCGTAAGTATGGAATGGGGTCTCTTGCCCAGTTAATAATTATTCAAAGATAGATTAGGTTAAGTTACATACCTCTGTAGCTCGTTTCTGTAACAATTCTCTACCAAGGCGAATTGAGATATGAATTCGCCGCCTTGTTCTCTACTGCTAATGACTAGTAGAGAATGACGTATATTCTCTAGCAGTAGAGAAATAATCGAGTGACAAATATTCTCTACCAGTATAGAAATAATCGGTAGAGAAGAGTTACAGAAACGAGCTACGAATTTGTGCTTGCCTTTCTTGTCTACTTTTTCTTCTTGTTTGGCGCAGTAACCGCCTAACTTATTTATGTCGAGATCAATGAAGCACGCCAGTCGGTTCTCTTGTGCGCCAAGTGTGGCCAATTCGAATTGCCAAGTCCTTCTCTACTTAGTATTTTCAATGCAGAGACGGCTTCTCTTGTCCTCTACTACTACTAGCGGGTTCCGAGTTGTACGTACCGCTAAAGGCCGACTTGATGATATTAAAGAGATTGTGCGGATGTTCGGTATTCGTGAATGTACATATATCGAGTTAGTCCCTACAGACCACGGGGACATAATAGTAGCTTAACTGTTCACAACGAAGGCCAGTTTAGATGGAGCTTCGCCGTTATATAAATTATACTTAGGATACACTTCAGTAATCTGCGGACCTATAAGTTTATCTCAAAAGCAGATTCGGAGGTAAGATGTTAATTGAATTTTGGAGCCATTTGCTTAAATCGGGCTCGCCGTAGAGGTGTAGATTGATACCAGGTTTGAGAGGTGAAGAACTCAGTGAAAGTTTAAAGATAATTATTGGATCAAAAGTGGTGGGTAAGAACTGCGGCCAGTAGTAGTCACCATGTTTGTAATTCATGCAGAGTCCGCAAAGAGCTAGGGACGAGTTGTCGGAGGATGCGTCAGACTAGGCTGAGCATAATTTTATTAATTGAGGAAGTTTTGTTAAATTACACTTTTGAAGTGGATATGCAAAAATTTCATTAATATCATAAAAGAAATTCTCGCACATGCAGCAATGCGTAGCATGCATTTAGGTGCTTGGTTTCTGCGATCTTCCTTTTCCGAAAGCTTGCTGAGCCTGAAATTTTCGAAAATAAGGCAGCGTGTAATCTGCAGATTCAGGCGTTTCTCTATCACCTGGAAGAGAAATGAACAGAGACTAATAGGTCGAAAATATTTTGCAGTGTTGTGGCCCGTATGGGCTACTTTAGGGATGAAGACCACTGCAACCTGCTATCTGACGAGGCAAACTACCATGTACACTTTTGCTGCCAAGTAAATTATTGTGACAACCGTTCATCGGAGCATAGGTGGTACGATACTATATATCTGGACGCGACAATATCATCGAGTGGATAGCCTCGCTTGTAGTTTAAAGTGGTTACTGACTCGAGACTGACTGTCACAACATTTGCTCTACTGTTTCAAGACTGCTTATTCAGTAAGCTAAAAATAGCAGCACTCTTATAAAATCATCTTCTCAATCGCGCGAATTTTGTGATGAATTCGAGCCTTCCACAAATTTTATACCCGATGCCTTTTTTGATTTTGTTATTCCCTTCTGGAACGGACTGAAACTACGACGGTATGCTTAGTAAATATAGCGCTATAAACGACGCCTTTCTTTCCCAGCTATTGTCCAAAGTAACCTTAGCTTTGCCATCC